TCGAGGCCAACCATACTTTCCATCTCTCCGGGGTCGATTAATTGGTACGAGACTCGTCTGGGAGATAAAAAGCACTGACTTGTACATTGGCTGGCCACCGCAAGTCATTGTATAGGCCACATACACACTCAGAAGTCGAGTGCGAGGGCGCATCCCTCAGACGGGATTGACTAACGCCAAAAAAAACTTTATCCTTTAACTTTTAGCCTAATCCTACTTTATATAATTCGCTAAGTGTGTCTGTTGGTTTGTCGGTGTGTTTGTGTGTCTTTGTGTGTGTCGGTGCGTGTATCCGGCTAGAAATTCATAACTCTTGTTCCCGTGTACCTAGAGAGTTCAAATTTGCTAGGAGTACAGAAGGCAGGATGTGAACACTTATGGCAGGTGGCAGGGCCAGACTCCCCCTACAGGGAACGGAGCGTGCGCGATAGAAATTGTAGGTCGCAGGTTCATAACTACTGTTTACGTGGACCTAGAGCATTGAAATTTGGTAGGTTTTAATAGGTGATGAAGCATATGACGGCATCGTAGGTACTTGGTGACAGGAACCCTTAGATAAGAGAAGTTGAAGAGTGTGAGAAAGCAAGAGCCGGCGACCGATCAAAATCCTATTGCGTTCGATATATACGACGTAGCTTTGACTGTTCAGTATGTCTCATTCGATCTGATGAAATGGTAGAGTAGGTTGACAAAAGTGAGCGGTAAGTGCAGTGATAGGCATCACTGCACTTAGCACTCACTTTTGTCATCCTACTCTACCATCTCATCTTAGCATTAGCGGCACTACGAGAAGCAGATGAAAATTTTGTTAATTTCTTGCTATTAGATTACAACCGCTACCCAGCAAGATTTGCGATTCAACAAAAGACTCTCTTTGTTCGGTATCACTTGCGACAAACTTAATCGACCGCCAGTAATATGGAATACTCAACTAATGATATCTCTGTAAAGGAAAAGGTTCATCGATGAAGGTATCTGATAACGGTGTTATCATTACTCGAAACAATTGTGAGTACCGTCAAAGACTTCGATTGCCCAACAGTTGGATCTTCAGTGAGTTTTTATTTTTAAGAAACGGAGCAAAAGATCGAGTTTCCATCTGCAGGCGTAACAACCGACATACACTGAATACCATTTGCACTGCTCTGTTAGCCCTGTGTCAAACTTCGTGTACAGAAAAATATTATTTGTATCAAAGGAGTGGAGAGTTAGCCGATTTCTACAACTTCGCCGTAGAAGGAAGGAAGTCCGGCGTTAGCCGTGCGAACCGACTGGTACATACAGCAGCGCTCAAAAGTGTTCGATCAACACTTTCACGCTTTTTCGTTCATAATTTTTTTCTTAGTGGAGCAAATCATGCGAAGTTTTGATATGTTTAACTAAGGCATTTTCACACTATCCAACACTATTTAATTGTAAAGCAGCCATATCCACATAACTAAGAGCAAGGGTTGATGCGATAGTAGACTTCGCCATGAGCAAAGTTATTGACGTCTGCAGTCATTCGCACCTTATGTGCGTTTTTCTCCTCTACTATGTTCGGCATTAGCGCTCGTACACTTCACACATGGCAGAAAGGAAAGAGACTCTAGAAGGACCATCGTTCGTATTTCCAGTTGATTCTAAGTTCAAGCCTTTTGTTATATCTGGAACATGATCAGATTGCAGGTTAATAGTGGTAAATATTCACAACACACCCATGCTCTACATATAGAAATTTCACATGAGTAGATCCAGAAGGAAAGGAGTTGCGACTGAAAAGTGTACAGAAGAAGCACTTCACTGAAGACTTTTGAGCGCTACTGTATATAACTGTCATCACTCTCATCGTAGTACAGCTGAAATTTTCTCCGACACAGAGGAAACTATATGGAGTCGGAAGAACTTCGAATACGACTGGCCATCTGCGCGTTCCTTTGGAATGCTGCAGAATCCCCACCTGCAAACTCCGTATATAAGCGCAAAAGCCTAACGTTGAGTATCACAGTGGTACCCGATCCAATATATTCAACATAGTCCTAGGGTGGTAAAAACGCCACTTCTTAGCATGGAGAAGGGTGCACCCGAAGGATCTGTGTTGATTTGCTATCGAGATACAGTAACTAGCTCGCAGCCGCAAATCCGTTTGTTCTTTTCCTTTTCCCGCACTCAAAGAACTCTTTTCCTTTTCCTTTCACGGTGGATGTATAACATTGTGGCCCAATGGGTCCGTTTCAGAAAACTACTTTGCACGTGTTCTCGTACGTCACTCGGTTTTTTGATTAGCGCCACTACGTCCGATTCAACCTTGTCGTAGTTCAAATCGATAACATCGATATTATTAGCAGGATGAGGGTTAGTGTACTCTCTTCACAGATGATTCATTATTAGCTAAGTGGGCACGCGCTCGTTTTTCGTTCTTTGTTTTGGCCCTCTCGCTACGAACGCTCGCTTATTTCAGATGTTCTACATGCGCACCGCTCTTTGTCTGAATCCGGTGGTACACAGACTGTCTGTCTGAATCCGGCGTCCTACAACTTACAACTTGCAAACCCAGTCGAACTCCTCAGAGGGATCAAACGTATAAGATGCGTAGAGCCCTTCACAGCTCCGCATCGCGAGTGAGTAATTCAGTTATCTTTCTCCCTCTTTCCTTGCACGAATCTCTCCTTTCACACTTAGGTGGATTTCCGCTAGTACCAAAAAAATATTTTCTATAAAAGTTTTATATGCTCTTACATACACTTGCTTGACATATGTTTTCTTTTTTCGGCGATTGCCTCCGGACCTGAGATAGGCATAACCACGGTCACACGCAGGAAATGGTTTATCCATCTTTCACTCATTCTGCATCTCAATATAACTTTTCGTTGCCGTTTTGCCTACTAGTGCGTTTCGGCTATCCAGAAGCACTCACAGCTCCAGCATGGCTTTGCTCACACGATCCAGCCGATTCATTCGTTCGTATTGCTCTTTCGCAAATTACAAAAAAAGCTGTATCCGGTCTGTTGGAGTATATCCAGTCTGTTCCAACAACGAGCGATACGATACACCTGCCCCCTTGTGCAGACTTACTTCTCGTAATATCGCTTATTCTGTGGACTTCTGCCTGAGACTTGAAAGCTGCAGTGAAGTGCTGCCTATCGTCTGTTTGCGGTAATCATACGGCTGTCTTTTCGGATCTTCGACCCTTGACTTACCTGCTGAAGCACAATAAGACCCATGACAACTTAGCTCGTTGAGTCGTCGAACATCAGAATTTTAAAGTCACTATAGATCTCGAGTAGTTGAAAAGAAGCTTCAATTCAAGAACGACGTTCCTGAAGCAGACATCGTGGAGTTCCCGGCGAGCATTAATGTTCTCCGTCCGGCTTTCCACTCAGTTCGTCCGTCCATCCTTTGTCTTGGTCAATTCCGCGTCGTTCTTGTAAAGGGAGTAAAGAGTACGGTAGGCTGGCGGCAACATGTTGTGATTTCCAGGCTTGCCGACTCGAGATGAGCGACGATGATGACAAGGACGGTGGAAAGAGCAACAGCGCATGGTCATTGAGGAACGCGCAGGATCGCTGAGAAGCCGCAGCTGCAGCTACTGCCCGAGTGCCCGAAGACTGTCTTACTCCGTAGCACATCCGCGTCTCCGATACCTTCGCTTCATATTCTGTACGCAACTCCACATCTATTCGCAGTTCCGTCCTACATACTAATAAACCTTTATATACAACCTCTGATTACATAGCAAGGGCCCAGCACTTAATTTCGCTCCTATGACGCTTTCTTGGAGCAGAAGCAGGGAGACATTTGCTCATGGATCGCCCCTTTCATCGAAACTCATCGGTTTCCGGCCTCAGTCACCGACGAACAAAGGCCTTTCTCGCTCACCGTGGAGCATTGTGTGATTCAGAAGAAGTTGTTTATATTACAGAGACCCAAGGCCGTACCAGTTCGGAGTGCCTCGCGAGCGACTTGTTGTACCGGAGGAGCTCAAAAATCCTATCCTTTCGGCTCTGCATTCAAGTCCGTGAGCCGGTGGTCATTTCAATTGGCGCAAAACTCTGGCCAAAAATTACGTAAGTACTTCTGGCTCCATATGGCGAAGGACGTCTTTGCTTTTAGTTCGATCGTGTCAGCAATGCCGACGTAAGCGGAATCAGCAAGCCAACCACGAACTTTTGGCCCCTGTCACAAGGGGCGCCATTTTCGATAAGATCTACGTCGAATTGGGGGGACCATTCCATACCTCAGGGAACGGTAACAAGTACATCCTAGCCATGATCGACCACTTTTCCACCCACCCCCTACCGGGTTGCGCCGCAATAACCGTAGCCCACGCGATAATATGTGCATCATGGTCTGACGCAACTAGTATCCGACAATGCTTATTATTTCAATAGTGAAGTTCTTTCGGAGGTCGGACGTTTACTGCGCATTCCGTTATTTCACAACATCTTACAATCACGAAGGCTACGGAGCATGCGAACGCGACCTTTCGCCACTTTTCATCCGATGCTTCGCACTTATATAGGCGAGTATCAACTCGGCTGGCAAAGGTGCGTTAAAGTTTGCACCTTCATGCAGACTAGCGCTAACAACACTCCGTATTTTTTAATGTTTGACAGAGACCCGGTATTCAATATTGACCTGCTTATCAAACACGATTCGGAGCGTCACACGCCCTCTTTGAAATACGCCGGTGGTAGCTACTCTTCACGCTGTCTGGCGTCTCCGCCAGGGACTTCAACCATCGCAATCGTCTAAAGTTTGAGCAGCAACATGACCACACTCACCTTCGGCCTTTATCTATCTGTGTTAGCATCGCGTTTTCCTTGCGACCTCGCCTCGAAGGTAGGATTATCATCTAATTGTAAGCTCTGCGACCCTTGGCTAGGGTAGTTCCGCGCTGTGGTAGTCGTCCACCCTCATCTCACCTTTGTCCGTATCGCCCCGCAGTCATCAAAGCCGCAAGTGGACACGAACCAGGTAAAACGCTGCTACGAGCTTTCTGGTCCGGTATTCACTTCGCAATGGACCCTGTCGAAGAGCAGATGGCTCTGTCAGCCGCCGGTGCCACCGAATTAGCAGTGCCCGGCTACTCTCATGTGGTAAGTGCGGGACAGTTCACTACCAAACCTCCGCCGCCGACTCACCGTTATAACACTCTTTCAGATCGCGTCGCACTTCTCACTGACCGGTTTGTCCAACAACAAAGACCTTTCAAAGTCATTTGTTGACATGACGCTCTTTATTTCGAGCTTTTCTCAAAGTTCGTGCTCTCTGATACCAATTCCTCACGTTTATCATTCATCTATCCGCTCTCTATTCTGACTGTCCTAACGGATTCAGATTTCACATGTTCTCTGCTTTGAACTCTTCCATTTCGTGCTCGTTTCGTTCGCGAACCTCGTTCGAACCAATTTTCAACTCTCTCTCAAGCCATGGACAGCAGACCAGATCCGGTAGCACCGGACCAACCAGGTGAGCTTGCATCAGTTCCTTCCGCAGCAGTCTCCGGTCCGAGCATAGACTTGATTGATGCTGAGTGCTCAGCAACGGCCTCGGATGCAGACGCACTTGATCTCCCGAGTAGGAGCAAGGGGCTCCCACTTCTTTTGACCTTCAGGTCTCAGATCTGCCAGTTTTCGACAGCAGTGATGCGATGGATTCATCTTCCCTCGCTCTGCAGGAGCTCAATCTATCGGAGGGAGCTCTCCTCGGTCCCACTCCGGAACCAGCGGTGTCGATGGCTGCGGGCGCCGTCCAACTCGCGCAGTCGATGAAGGATCCGTCCCTCCTTTCATCAGTTGTGCCCGCATCGCGCAGTCTTGCTAATCCGGCTTTACAGGTTCTTTTGGACCAATCGGGTGATCATCTCCATCCTTGGTCTCGATACCTCGACCTCCGTCGTAGAAGCATGGTTGATAGAGTTACCAATGAGCTTCCGGTACTTACAAGGTACAACTTACAGGCACCTCCCTGACGCGGCGTACCAAATTCGTTCGATCATTGTCCACCGACTTCATAGATCGTAGGCAGCCATATCCGGACCCTATTCCACTCAAAGAGCTACAGCACCTCGAAGATTCCGTCAACTTTCGATTCATGACTGAAGACATGATGGATGCGACGGGAAAGATATCACGATAAAGACGTAGATCACATCCCACAGAAACCAGACGATCTTCCGCAGTCCCTCACAGATCCCACTACATGCGATCAACGCTGACCGGTGCTTTACAAAGTAGTGTCGACAGGTTGGGAACCGGAGTCATTTTCAAGGCCAAAGACTTCCTTTTGGCCGGTCCAGCCGCAGGAATCTCCCTTGCATTGTCCTCGATCAATTTGCAACCAACCACCCAACGGGATTGCGCAAGTTCAACAAAGGCAAAGTATCGGTCTAGGACTTCGTATGGGTGGATGACGTGAAGCTCACTCGACAAGCCCTTCGGGATTCCGAGACAACTCTCACCGCGTTGCGATACCCTCGCACTACTGCGCTCGACATGAACTCCATGCATTTTTTCCTCGCAGAATCATTTGCATTCGTGACGTCAAAGACGCTTCCGGATCCGGTTTACGGCATCATACTGTTGCGCAAACTCACGCGAGTAGAAACAGTCGCTTCTGCGAGGCCGTGTTCGAGGAAACGCCTGCCGCCGTTACCCTAACTCACTGCGATTTCAACCCAAGGACGTGAGGGAATATGAAATCGTGATGGCTACCACACGGCCTCACGTCTCCTGCGTTATGCGTTTTTCGTAACCACCGACTTCGCCCGAGGCCCGTACGCCTTGTGCAAATTAATCCGCCAGTTTCTTTCCATGCACCCTGATGAGGGTTGGTCTAGCTCCGGGTTTATCGGCTGCGATCCCTTTGAGAACTATCGCTACAACCGTGACGAGGCAAGGTTACGCATTTCGATGTTATTCAGTGTGGCGTGGCGGCGATCAATTTTGCGGAAGACGATCGTATCTCCCACAGACTGACGGAATCGACAACTCGTCCATATCACTATCCCGCGAGGCTGAATTTCGTGCTTCCGGATAAGACCACAGAGTCTCGTTGAGTTCTTCGGCAACCCGTAGCCTTGCATGTTTTTTGGGTCCTGCAGCATTTGCCGAGCGAAGACAACTCGCGCCGGGATCCTATCCGGCCAACGCGCTCTGAACGTCGCCATAGAAGCGTTTATTTGGTCACACCACAGCAACAACGAAGCAATCCACAGGTATGGACGCCAATCCGGTGCACTAACCTTTGGGGGAGTAGACGCGCGAATTGGCAGACAAACGAACCGCGCCAACCCTATTTATGAAGTCATTGCGCATTATAGACTTTTGTGGGTTTGAACCCCACTTTGCTCGCCGGTAGGATAGCGGAGTTGGTCTACAGGAGACGTTCCTACGGATGTGGTGGAAGCCGGCGACCCCATTGTGGTTGCCCGTCCTTTCAGGTCCGCGGAACAACCGTGGTTCTGACCAACGACCAAGCGGAAGCCGTTCGAGTCAGCAACGAGCCGAATGTAGCAGAACAAGCGGCTCGTGGCACAGGTAAGACGATGGTGGGAGCTATAATAGCGGCGCTTATCGCGTCGCGACCACCATCGATAGTGGCTAGGCAGCGACTAATAATACGGCGCTTGCCCAATCCACAGAGACCTCGATGACCTTGCTCATCTTAAGGTTTTTTGTCTGACACAGCAGCGTCTGACAAACTTTACCCCACGGGTTTACACGTAAACGTAATTCTGAAATTATTCGGCGATCAACATGAAATCCAGCTCGATCCAGCCAAACGAGAATTTTGCGGAAGACTCCAGGAAGAGCGTGAGCTCTTCGAAAAGTATATAGGAGACCCCACTAGGTGCGTGCAGAGGTCCGAAGAGGATCCACAAGAGTATGAGATTGTGGAACGCTCCGTCTCGCAATCCATAGAGATGATGGTCGAACTCATGTTCCGAGACTCCCGGCCATCATTTGCTTTACTACCGCGTCTCTCTTGAACACGACGGACTCGGCGAACGGCCTCTTCCGCAGGTACTCCAGCTCGTTTGGCACTATAATAGGAGACGAAGCGTCTAAGATACCCGAGCCCGCCTTAGCGACTACAGCTAGCCGTATTCCGGAAGCGAGGGACCGTTACATAGATGATATACGCCAACTTGAGCCCCACCCTCAAAGCCACCGAGCTTCGAATCTAGCTCGCTCGTATTTTGTGAGCGTCTTAGTCGAAGCCGCAGCAGTCTCGGTGTCTTCCCTGGTTACGACCTTCGGTGAGCATCCCGCCCTGAACGCGCTCCCCAACCATGTGGCTTAAAGTGGCACCCTGCTTCACGGTGCCGCTAACAGCTCTTGCTGTTTGCTATGCGTTTCCCCACTCCGGGAGTACCCTCTATGTTTCTCGATACCGAGGAACTCCTAAGAAAGCAACTAATATGTCCCTCTTTAACATGGACGAAGCACACGTTGCGTTCGATTAATCGAGCTTCTGCTCGGGAATCGCATTAAACCAGCACAGATTTGCGTAATCTCTTTCTACAAAGAGCAATCACGCCATCTCCAGACGCGTCTCGACAAGCTCGGCGTCAAGCTGACCACCGTGGATTCCATTCAAGGACGTGAAAAAGAGGTAGTTATTCTCCTCTAACAACCAGAAAAAACTTTTCCGCTAATTCAGCAGACTTCTTGGACGATTACAAAAGAATCAATGTGGCAACCAGGCGATGCCGCCACAGCAAATTCATCCTTGGCAATGCAGAATCTCTGACGATCGTACCGTTCTGGCGGCGGATCCTCGACCGGGCAGCGCGTCGATCAATGCCATAGTTCCATCCTCAACTCTCGAGTGGTATTTCCGCGGGTAATGTCCCGTCACAGTGGGTTCTGAACTTAACTTTTTAAACCGGGGCGGCCTTTGTGTAAATGGGGGAGGTGTAAGCGTGGACTTGCTTCTGCTTTTCTTGGGAAAATTGCTCTGCTCAGACGGAAGTATACCACGGGTCAAAATTATGATTACACAGACATCAGAACCCCGAAAACGAATACAAAGCTAATAAAGCAAACCAATTTCAGAAAAGTGTTAATCACTAATTTCTTATCGAAATAGTACATGAAACTAGGAATTGTTGTTTTCTGCTTTCCCCCAACCCGAGAGACGACGATGGAAGGCATTAACGGTGGCACGCAGCTAAGGTCATCGAGCTCAACCCGGCTTTTTGCAAGGCACTTTCGGAATTATTTCTTTTCTTGTCTGGGCTAACGGATGCTTTCATCTCAGAGGCTGACCACACTAGGACATCCATGGGATTCAGGTCAGGGCTTCAGAATGGTCACTGACTGAAGGGTATAAAGTCAGGGAACCCCTTTAACGGAATTTCTAGACAATTTCTGATCTGCTCAGAAGCTTTATCTTAGCAATATGTCCGGTGAGATTCGCCAAGGCGTCTTGTTGCGCACAAAGAGATCGGAAAGGCCCTCAGATCAACTTTCACTCCTAAATTACAAAAATAATCGGTGTTTTTGCTTCGGCAGTGAGGCTCGCAAAGGCCATGGCAGAAAGTCAGTTTGCTTAGCGCTGCATCGATTCCATTTCTTCCAGCTTCATACAAATCTTGTCGCTCTGCATATTGAGCACTTTTTTCACCGTGTATATCTATCTTTTCGTCGGTGAACAGAAATTCCGCTCGATAATTTTTTGGATGCGGCGGGACAGCTTTTGTGAGCCAACCTTTCTCTTCTCTCTAGCCTGTTCACTGGGGAAATCACTGTCTGCTCGTTAAAGAGCCTTGTTGTGCAGATGATAATTCACGATTTAGCGCAGAAAACTTTAAGAGTATCCATTCAGGCATTTTGGGCTCAGAATGAACTTCGCTACTACGCAGACCTTCGCCCTACTTCCTTAAAGCTCCCTCTGAATGAAACCGCAGGCCTCTTAGGTTTACCACTCCTATCTGCACTTGTTCCCAACTCTCGAAAGCATTTTATGATTGAATGTACCATCGTCCTGTTACGCTAAGTCCTCTGTAGATGCACAGTGCCAAAAGTGCTTGTAAACGTAAAGTGTAATTTATTCACGGGGTAATTACGCTTACATTATTTTCAAAATCTACCAAAAGTTTAGTATCATTAGGAAGGTGACGATGCAACCTCGTGAAATGGAAGAAAGCGAACGAATTGTTATTAACTCAGAAATAATTTGCTATGAGCGTCAGCGCGCGCTGTAATCATAATTTTGCCTCACCTTGTAGGGTTGGGATGGATGTCTGTTGTGATGATTGCCTTGTTACTGATCTTCAATTTTTTGATTGTTACGGGGTTCGAGTGTGCGCATGGATTTTACATTATATTTCTTATCGTATCTACCAAGAATAGGATTTACGTACTTCCAATGCGCTCAGTGTTCACTAATTTCACTGCGCTAAAATGTTTCTGAGGATGGTGTCATAGGTTCGTGATTCGATTCGCCTAAACGTCACAAAATTATCAAGAAAGACGTCTCTGAAATCAAGATGATGGCAGTAAAATGAGGGGATCAAGAAAGACGTCTCTGAAATCAAGATGATGGCAGTAAAATGAGGAGAAGCGACTATAATCAAAAAGAGTGGAGCACAATGCGACTCGCAGGAGAAACACAAAGGAGAAGATGAGAAAGAAGTTGCAATGTACACTGAACACTCCCGAACCATAAGCAAATTGGCCTATTTCTCAGCTATGTACTAATTTGCATTCAAAACTTACGGATCTATCCCGCCATCAACGGTATGGTTACACAGACAGCCCAGTTTATGACGCCATTTAGTCATATGTATGTCGCATATATCAGAAGGATTACTTTTCAGCAGCAACCCTTGACAAATGTTCAGACGTGCCCTAAAACTACCCCTCCAGCCCGTGTAAATTTTATGTCCTTCATTCCCAGTTGCTCCAATGAAGTTATAAAGCGCGATGACGCTGCCCTCAGCGAATTTGGAAGCGTAGAAGCAACTGCATATTGCTTTCCCCCAAGAGTCTCCTGAAAGCCCTCATAATCGAAGAGAGCGCGTCCTTCACGTGGTTGGTCTTCGAGGCAGTAGTTACCCAGACAAAACTCATAAAATAAACATCGACCGTCTATTTCGCCCTCAACTCGCAGCACAAATTCTCTGATAATATGCGCTGAGCCCACTGAATGCCTTCACAATGGAATAGGTAAAGGCTTCAGAACCAAAACATACGTATAGTGGAACAAATCACCCGAACCAACATTCATCAGGTATTTGCTAAGATGTCGACTGCCTAAGTATGAACGTGAACCCCGGATGAAGGTAGATTTTCCAGGCAATATCTGACAACGGAAAAACTGTTTACAACTTGAGAAAGTAAAGCTGTAATGAATGATGTGAGGCTAGGGAAGTGGGAGGAATCAGCAACAGCTCAATAAAAAAGGAAATTTATTATAATTCGTACTTAGTACTCTTGATATGCAAAAAAAGGTGAAAAGCAGGGAAAAGCATACAAAAAGTTCTTGCGTTGATCAAGTATTTTCTTGCTGGAATACTTCAAGCCTTGCAGTGAAAAGACACTTTTTTTCTTGGGAGCGGTCGCTCTAATATTCAGCGGCGGCCTAGCACAAGATAGAATCTTTCTCCTGAAATGCACTCCGCCTTCAACTTCCATTCAAAATCGTAGTGACGCTTGACTGCGTATGTGACCTAGACAAAAAGAGTGGTCAGCTGATGTTCAATGATACCAGTGAACCGACTTCTTAATAACGGAAGGTTTGGTTGGCCTGACTCCAATCGGATTCAATCCCATTACAAAACACATGATAATGCTTCACTTGCCACCACATCACCTTCTGCTGTCTTCATAAAAATATGTGAGTGAAACAAAATAAAAGAATGTCTAATAAGCGGTTTCACAATTCTGTCGTTACTTCTTTTGGCTTGATGTTTTGATAACTGCCAGGTCTCGGTAGTGTAGGGGATAGAGCCCGGCAACCACAAGTCCCGTACGAGACTGAAGTTTTGTCCACAAATCGTCGACCTTATGGGTGTCGTTACTGCTAGTCAGTACGTTTTCCTTTATCACGGTTCCGAATAATGTTGCCTATGCATTGGGATTCCGTTTGAAATCGGTAGCGACGTTTAAATGGGCAGGCAACGATATGTTTTTATTCTTCAAGTCTGGCACCAACCAAAGGAATGGTGACTTTTACTTCGGTCTAAACGGTTTTTGGAAGGTGCAAGAGGTATTGCAATGGCTTGTTACCACCCCTTGTATTCGCTTGCCCTACAAAGCGATCATATTGTTTTGATCCGAGTTCAATCCAAAATAGGAACAGTAGCATTAGATGACAGTAGAGTATGAGGAGAAATGGCAACTTCAAAAGCAAATGCGCGACATAGTGCCTGGAGTCGATAACAGGAAGCGAGAAAGGTTTAAATTTATTGAACAGTAAAGGTTTATGGAATGTGGAACAAAAGTGACGGAGACAGAGGAAAAGCCGACCTCCAATACAACACGAGGTATGTTATTGAAATTTAGAAAGATTACAAACCGATAGCGAAAAGACGTCAGAACCAAACAGAAGAGAGCAACTCCACGATGCAAACGAATACAATGTCTGACGATTAGTTCAAATGCAAGTAGACTTTCGATATAAAAACGAATAAAGTACATCGTTGTACATATAATGAACAGGCGCTTGAGATCTTTGAGCGGCTGTCAATGAAATGATGGTGGACTCGAAAGGTTCTCGACGTTCAGTACATCAAGTAATGAAGCAGCCGTTGAAAAGTTCGACGAGGTAGTAACCTGCAATTGGTAAAATAGTCATCAATTTTTAGTAAGAGAGTTAATGTCATCATGTGTTCTCTCTCATGCTTTAAGAAATATACATCCTATGACATATGAAGCTTTATAGATTTCCGCTTCACAATAAGCAGATGGTTAGGTTGGTTATGACAAATCTGCGGCCCCCTTGTTCCACATGTGACACTGCCACGTCGAAAAACGGCCTCGGTAGGGCATTATAAGGGCTCAAGATTTGTGTCGGTTGTATGCCACACCAAGGGCGGACGCTGTGCAGACTGTGATGTACAAGGGGCATCCAAATATGAAATTCTAACAAATAGTCGTGGCCCATTCATGCTCAATGAAGTTAAATCTTTACGGATTTGCATTAAATGAAGTCTCGTCTGAATACTCTTCTGTGCCATTCCCGCCATGGTGATCTCGTATGACCTCTACTTTACTACTTTCAGATAGCCTTATTTTNTTTTCGTGAAGCTGATCAGATCTTTTTCGCTTCTAACACCACCTACGCACTATTCTCCACCAACACTTCCGCTTTTCAACCTATAAACCTCACCTCAGCATTTTTGAGACTGTGTCTTCAAAGTATTGCCTTGTTACCAAATTAATGTTGCTGTAAACACAACACAGACTACACTCACCGTTAATGCTCGCATCTTTATCTATTATTATTCTTATCCTCTTGCCTGCTAACATTCTGCATCTGTATGCCCATGTTCATTTGTATAAGTGCTATGCACTGAAACAAGTGTAAACCCATGTAAACGAAGCTACCGCTGAGGCGCCATTGGTGAGCTTTGTTGTTATTTCCAGTTTCATGTTTACTCAGTTCACTTTGCGCTACACGGCTAGTCCAGCACTCAGCGTTGACCTCGTATAGCTTTATTCTTTATATATAATTGAAAGCAAAGATCTCTACTCGCAATATCCTTATCAAGTACCCGTAGCTAGCTTTGAAAAAACAATTTAAGCTTCACTATTATATTAGCGAACTTACGCCTAAAGTAACTACTTAGTTTACAAACATGTTGAACTTGCCATAAGTTGAGGTGACGACGCGCAAGTTTAACACTAACTCCTGTTTTTTAGACTGGTGAAGAGCTTTTTGGCGCAGCCCCCCATAAATACCAGCATTGTTTAGGCGTCTCTCTACAGTTCGCCGACTAAGAATGGTGACATCGCTAGCGCTGAACTCAGCCGCAATGTCAGCCGCAGCGAGGCGAAGGTCAGCCTTCGAACGAAGTGTGATCCGTCTGTTTTGGGCTATTGAAATATATCGGGGCTTCCCATTTTCTAAGCATCGCAAACGGCGTCCCTGACCTAATAGCGTTAGATATTCGCGGAAATCTTTGTTGAGGGAACCCCTTAGAAGTTACAGAATTTACCGTGATTTTCCTGCTCAATTTCTTCATACGTCTACTCGTCTACGGCTGCCTGCCGAACTCCCTGACTAACTGCTGTCCTTTTATGCATGCCTTGACTGTACTAACACTAACGTCGAGAAAAATGGGATGCAAAAATGCAAGCGTCGTCAACCTTTCACCTCAGGAAAAAAACTTTAGTAGCAAAACCTTTACACTTACAAGGAAGGTCTTTGAGTTCGTGGGAAGCTTCTTAAAAATGGCTTTTTGCATGGTGTAGGGGCATGAGCACTGAGTATGTAACTATGGTCCATTTCCGCTAAATGGCCTTCTGAATTCCAAAAAAGGAGTGAAATAGATTTTGCCAGAAGTAGCCGTTTTAACCCTTTAAGCGTCGTTCGTTTCAGTCATGGCGTCGACTGTCCGCACAGTAGAAGGGGCCGATGGAGGCGACATTGAAAATAATGTGGACGGTAGCCAAAAAAGGTATTCACATGTTGAAAACTGCGGGGAAGTTTCATATAGGCTCTCCACGGTTGAGCTGGTAGGGGCGACGGATAGTGTGGTGGTTAGCAATGTGGACTTCGAGGATGTTCGACTAGGATGGGTGATGGTTCGGATTTCAGAGGCTTTCCTGCTTTTGCATTTTATGCTGCCACCTCCAGTTTGGCTCCATATTGCATCAGGGCCGAAGCAAGTGCCTGACTGGTCATGGTCGTGACCAGGACCAGCCAGGCACTTGCTAACAAGTAAACCTTTACAAGTCGTTAGAATTTGATGTGTGGAGCACTATCAATGGAAGAGCTTCCAGGCTTCACACTCCCAGGAGTATAAAGGTACTTCTTGATTCCACNNNCCGAAGCAAGTGCCTGACTGGTCATGGTCGTGACCAGGACCAGCCAGGCACTTGCTAACAAGTAAACCTTTACAAGTCGTTAGAATTTGATGTGTGGAGCACTATCAATGGAAGAGCTTCCAGGCTTCACACTCCCAGGAGTATAAAGGTACTTCTTGATTCCACACTATATAAGTGTTGTAATGGGGATCCAAACCCTATAATGTGGTACCTATTCGATGGAAGCTGTCCTCAACGCAAAGACAACAGAATTCCCGATTCCGACTTTCCTCGGGGCGTCCACCGCGGACTCCTGTGGGAAAACGAATCAGACTCACTTTCAACTCGTCTTCTTGCTGAAGCATCCATGAGCATTAGGCTTGATAAAAAGCTGTCAGCTCTGAAGGAAATCATTCTTGCGCCGGATTGCTAGATTAATGACTAGATGAAGGGTTTGTGCTACCCGTTCTCAACCTACTTTCCCCTAACTCCGCGTCCTGCTATGAAGGGCTGACATTACACAATCAAGAAGGACATTGCTGAGGTCAAGGTGACTGCAGAAGATGAGTGACTGATCGTGAGGAGAGAAGGAAATGGAGATGACCAACCAGAAACCAAAAACCCTTTAACGGCGCGAGATCAATGCTAGAGTAAAAAACGGTGAAATCATCGAAATTAGATGCGTCTTTCATCAGTTTTGAAGGAATTCGGAGGGAAATAAAACAACAATCGAACCATCACTGTCCAAATCATTCAAAGAATTGTAGGGACTGTGCAGTGTCCATACAATGTCCAAGGACCAGATGATATGTTATCGAATTCCGGTCAGAGGTGAAGTTTGACATATCAAAATTTTTCTTTGATCTTTTACTGGGAAAAAAACCTACGATTGGGAAAGCGTTTCACTGAATACTTTTGACTGTACTGTATTACTATATGTATGTAGTTAGCGTGAAGCAAAGGGTTGGGTTCTTGGCGTCAATCGACCCGGTGTCTGGGATGGGCACAGCATTCGACTTCCGTTCAGAATCTTAGCGGCTGTTTCAATGCGCGTGAGGCCTATATGTATAATAACATGAGTGGAAAGCCACTGTACTAACCAGCGCTTCTCAGACGAGTTTGGTAACAATTACGGGCCTCTTAAAGGTGGGAAGCCTAGTTGACTTGGATTAATATCGACCTGGGATTCAAGCTTGCCCTTGCGTATACGAAAGGCACCACTTACCACAGTACCAACTCCGCCCCCTTATATAAGATGAATGACACATTCAAATGCGAAATTATTAACCCATTGACGACCGCGTGGCCCGTATACGGGCC